ATTAATTTAACAACGAAGCAGAGAGAAAATTCACATTCTCTGTAAATCACACTCACGTTTTGGTTTCAGTTCAACTGGGACCAAACAGAAAATATGCATGTTAACAAAATGGCAATGTCTCCACATAAACAGGAGTGACTCACTCAGGCGTTCCAGATTTTGCAATATTTACTGATTGCACAAGAAATAAGAAGGAGCTAGAAAGAATGGCTGGGTTTCAGCCCAGAAATTCCTCAAAGCCTTTTTTTAAACTTCTCTTTGTCAAAGAAATTAACCTGAAGTGGCAACATGGGAGTGTGTTACCACCTGACATCCAGGGTGCTCCAACCAGCCTCCCCATCCTTGCCCCTGGCCTTATGACACTAGGCCTAATAAAAACAAACTTCTCCCTCTGCCACATCAAAGGTTCGACCTGCTGCGGCCCTGATCCTTCGCCAGCTTCCCTGTATCACTTTCAAACACAGCCACACAGGGCAATTTAATAAGAGATGGACAGCTAATGTCTCCCACCCAGGCTCTAGTCAGTCAGCAAACCAGCCAATCAGGCAGTCAGCGGGGTCCGCTGTGAAACCAGACCTCTGCTTTGTATCACAGAGCCAGACACTGAACAAGCTGTGCAATGGCTGCATAACACGCCTGGCTCAACCAAAGGAGGCCATTAAAGACAAAAGAAGAAAAATTTCAGAAACCACAAACTAAGTAACTGTCTGCTGCAACTTAAATGCTGTCTGTTGGTAAATCATATCAGCAGTAGAAGATCCAGGCTCAATGTGAAAGGGTCAGCAAAGCAACCATTTCCTAATAAAAGACCCAAGAAATTAACAAGAAACATACAGCCGAGCAGGAGTGAAACAAAGTCTGAGAATGAATCCTGATTGGATTTAAGAAGAGAATTTACATGTAGCATTAAAGATTTCTCTTGCTTCGTGCACTTTCCCAGCCTTAACTCACAAAACTTGGTCATGATCAGATTCACGGGAGCAAACAGATTCATGCGGTGTGCAGAAATCAACCAAATAGAGATGGGGAAGCTCTGTTTGCAGTGGGTTCTATTTTATCAACTGTGACATGTTTACCACTTCTTCAGTTTTGAAACAATGGTCTATTATCACTTTCATATGGAGTTGGACTACTCATGTGGCAATGTTATATTGTTTTGGAGTCAACCTGATAACTCATCCTTAACGTGGACGTAGTCGGGCACACATGGGATGCATTAGACAGGACTTTGAATGAAAGATGAAATTTTATCCTGTAAAAATACTAATGCTCTACCGAGCTGTTAAAAGGGGAGCACATTTTCGCGCTTTGGTGACAATGAGAAAAAGTGTTTTCTTCTAGGAAAGCTTTCACGGGGTACAATGATCAAATTTGTTAATTTTTACGTATGTGGGTTACATTTAGTATGCCGTGCACCCTTTCAGTCACTGAG